CAGCCTTGACGCCACAGGCCTTTCCAGTCCCATCCCACCCACCCACTCCAAAATTGCACAAGAGTCCACTCTCAGTCTCATCCCCCTGCTTCCCTTGTTGCTCTGCAGACCAGGGTGCTGCTACTGCTGCAGTGTGGATCACGGCTGGAACGGAGGCAGGAGTTGCTCTGCAGCAACCCGAGTTGGTTAAACATTCTCCCAGCCCTGTTGGGTAACAAGATCCACCAAGCCGGAGCCTCGGCAAACATGACGAGCTTGCCAGAGTGCAGGATGCGTGACAAGCTTCTCTTGCCCGCCTGCCAATCCTACCGCGTTACCTATTGACTGAAAATAAATACCTCACCCACCCCAACTGTGCCCTTCTCTCCCCCCTCAACCTGTTCTCGCCTGAGCGTCATTACTTCATGCTACAACTATGCTTCCTTCTCCCTCGCTTCCAACCTATCCCAGCTCAAGTGGCATAGAGGGCAAGGATGCTGCCTGTTCCAAAGAAACCAGTGCCTGAAGCTTTAGGCTGTTTATTTAAAGGTATAAGCACACCCTGTTGTGAGGTCTTTGGGACAGGTACCAAGATGTTCAAACAACAGTTGATTCAGATTTTCACTTTTTAATAGCAGAGGAATAATCAACCAGCAACTGAGTGCCTTGCTTTCTGCAGGCAGGTTGAACTCCAGCTAGGGTGGTGTAGTGGTTAGAGGGTTGGACTAGGATCTGGGAGACCAGGCTTCAAATCCCCAATCAGCCTACCTCACATGGTTGTTGTGGGGTTTGAATGAGCATTTGCTTCCTGGCTGCCTCATTTTGCCTAATGGTAGGGCTGGCACTGCTAAACAATGTTCACACTTGACTTTTGGCAGGTTTTCAAGGGGGAGGAATGCCCTAACTGTGGAACATCCATCATTAGGCTGCCCTGTTGTTCCTTTGTTCCCCAGACTAGATCACCATAGATAGTGATGTGCTAGTCAGTCAGCTATAGAATTTAAGATGAGACATATGGGAGGAGGCAGCCTTTGACGTATGTTGGCTCCAAATCAATAGGCAGCCCTAGTCACAGCTCATCTGTGATGACCATAATGCCTATATAAGTAACCCACTTTTAAGTGCAGACAAATAGGAAACCCTAAAGTCACGCAGACATTATTGAGCAAGGAGGGGGAACCTGTGGCCCTCCAGATGTTGTTGGGCTCCAGCTCCCACAAACCCCAGCTAGCAGAGCCAAGGATGATGGGAGTTGTAGTCCAACAACATATAAAAGATCACATGCTCTTCCATTACCCAGAACTCCCCCCCCTTTCTCTGTTTAACCCTGAAGATACTAGTTAGGGAAGATACTAGACAGGGATATGGGGAGCACCAAATAAATAATACAATGCTGGGCACTTGAGGGAGAAGTAAAATGAGAACTCCAAAGCCTGGGAGCATTCAAGAAAGAAAGAAAGAAAGAAAGAAAGAAAGAAAGAAAGAAAGAAAGAAAGAAAGTGTATTTGTTGCTTAATGCCTCTGAATCAACCCAATTTGCCTATATGGGATTGAATCTCACATGAAAATAGTCTAGAAATATTCTGAGCACATTTGTCTTTGTCACAACTATGCCGTGTGCACGACATAACTGTGATGTTAATATGGGCTGCGTTTTGATTGGGTGTGGTATACCATATACGTTTGTTCTTCCAGGTTTTGTGCCATGTAGTAGATTTGTTGCTTCCCTCCTTCAGAGCATCACCTCACCACTGCTATGTCTGGTTACTTTTTTGTAAATGAGATAGTGAAGACGAGACGTGTAGCCAAGCTGCTGTTCAAAATGTCCGTGGCTGGCGGTGCGGCCAAAGCGGTGCTGCTCACCTGGCTTCCCAATGGCAGGTGTTGCTGCTGTTTATCAACAGGGAGAGGGACAAGGTGGCAGAGACATCAACCTGGAGCAGACACAGTGGCAGAGTCAATCGGCGGCTCCCACTGCTGTGCCTGAACCATGCGAGGCTCCCCGCTGTCTTCCCCCTCCCACCTTGGCAACTGACAGTGACACAGACTATGGATTAACCAGGACTTTTATTTTTCCTGCATTTGCCCGCTGGCTAAAGGAGAGTGTTTTTGAGCATGTTCAGAGTTGGCAACAGAGCTTCCAGGTCCAAAGAGTTGATTTCCAGGCAAGCTTAAACCCCAAACCTCCCATTTGTCATATAAGCTTTGGCCTTGAACTTTGCTGGCGAGGAGTGTCATTTAAGATGTGATTTCAAACATAAATATTGGGGAAGGGCAGATGCTTACTTCTGGCGAAAAGTTTTGGATGTTGGGAAATATCAAACATTATTATAATTTAGTACCGTACACAAGAACTGGGTCAGGCCAAAAGCTATGGTGCCCAGCCTCCTGCCTCTGGGAAGCCTGAAAACAGTTTTCTGCTAAGAAAATAAAAGGATCTACCTTTTAAACCATAGTTGGTACCTCTGTGACATGTATATGGGATTGATTTACCTGGTGAAAATGTCTGTTTAGTCCAGTGGGCAGAGAACTGGACTGAGTGTAGAAATAGCCCAGTTAAGATCATTGCTGAGCCTTGAAGCTCTCTGGATGACCTTGGGCCAGTTACTCTCTCTTTCTTTCTTTCTCTCGGCTCAACCTATCCCTCGGAGTCATAAAAGGATAACAAAGGGTGTGTCTGTGGACTCTGGACCTTGTAATCCACCTTGAGCTTCTTGGAGGAAGGATGGGAAACAAAATCTCCATCATTGACTGGAAAACCTGGTTACGTGTTTTCAGGTGATTGGCAACTATCCCCTGGCAAAGCGATACAGTCGAATTTTAATGCACTGTGTTGGTATTTCCCAAACCCATTCTCTGAAATCAGATTAAAGTCAGCAACAGGCCTCCTGTGCCAAATCTGTCCCTTTGAAGAGTGATGCCTGATTCCTTCAGTTGATTAATCAAGAAAAAAGAGAAGTTTGGAAGGAGAGGCAGCTGAAGCAATGAAACTAGGGCCACATCCATACCATACATTTAAAGTGCTATGATATCAATTTAAACAATCCCCCGAAGAATTATGGGAGATGTGGTTTGTTAAGGATGCTGAGAGTTGTGAGGAGATTCCTATTTCCATCCCAGAGGTACAGTTTCCAGACTGGTTTAACAATGATTCCCTCTTCACAGGAAACTCAAGTAATTGTAGCTTTGTGAGGTGAATAGGGGTCTCCCTAACAACACACTGTACTCTTAACACACTACAGCTCCGATAATCATTTGGGGGAAGCCATGACCATTTATAGTTGTATCACATATTCCCACATATTCCCCAATCACCCACTTGGTGAGGGAGAACAGGGGTTTCAGCCCACCCATTTCTCAAAGCTATCGTGCAGCAAGTACAGCTAGTTGCTGACCAGAGTCTTAAATCCTCCTTCAGCCACAGCTAAACAGGGTATGAAAAGTAGCTGTTATAGCAAGAACTCAGAAAGTTTCAATTGGCACTAGGCAAATAACTCAGAAAGTTTCATTTGTCATTGGATTTAAAAGTTCATATTGGGTGTTAATGTTTGTTTTGCTGATGTAATTTTATTAAAAAATTGCTTGGTGCTAGCATGTTGACACTCTCACACCAAGACACCCTCTCTCCATGCTTCAAACGTGTGCTCTAGTTTAAACACTGTTTTGGGAAGTTTGAGAGTTTTTGCACAGCCCCTATTTGGAGTGGGGAGTGGGAGAAGTGTTTCCCCCCCCCCCAACCTTTACATTACAAAGAAAGCCTTAAGTGTTTTGAATTCATGGCTGGCATTGACAAGGCTACTTACTCATGGGGGGAGGGGAAGGATAAACTGGGTAGTATCTATTCATGCCTCATTGATTCAACTCTTTACCTCCTCCCTCGATTATGAACAAAATGGGCCCTACAGTTGTTTGTCTGGAGAAACCCATGAAACTGGAATAATGACTCTTCATATCTTAAGTCCCTAAAACACAAATAGTGGTAATTGTGTGCGCCTGAGTCATAAAATAAATTGGGTGGTTGTGTGTTTCTGAGTCACGAGGGATGTTTTCTGAATGCTTAGCAGTGGAAATGGTATTGTGCAGTTTCTGAGGTGGTATTTGCATATCGGGACGGTGTGTGTGTGTGTGTGTGTGTGTGTGTGGTGTAAATAACATCTGTGTAGAGAACTTTGAAGACTGATGAGGCAAATAGAAAACTGCTGTTTGTTTAGACATGGGAAACTCAGTCCCTCTAACCTCTCTCAGAGAATTTGGGTGTTCAAAGAGCACAAATGTGTGTGTGGCAGTGGAAGACTGGATGCCTAGAGGATGGCACAAACTTGCAAGGAGAGATGAGATGATAAAGCAGACAGAACCTTCCTCTACCCAACAGCCAAAATATGGTAGGTTGAACGGCTTTTGAGAGAGGAATATTATTGCAACAGGGATTTTCAGCATGCAATGTATGTGCAATATAATTGACCTGTGTCTCCCTCCATTCAGTGATTTACCTTACATAAAAGGATCTTTGAGTGCTCACTGCTGTGCTGTGTTTTCTAGAGACCAGAGAGCAACTGTGGATTGTGGTAGCAGAGGAAGGACATCTGTTGCCTTCATGTCTTACTGCTGGAATTTATGGTCCTTTGGTCTGATTAACAGGACTTTTCATGTGTATTATTTCCTTACTGAACAAAGTAGGATAGGAATGGATTAAAGTTAACATTCTCTTGCACCTCTTGAAAATGGATGGGAAAACTGTGGCCTGCCAGATTTTGTGAGACTTCAACTTCCATTAGCCCCAGCCAGCATGGCCAAAAGTCAGGAATGGTGGGGATTTTAGTCCAGAAACATCTAGAGGGCTCCAGGTTTCCCCATCTTTGATCAGAGAGCTAGGAACGTCTTTCAATGAGGGACATGTTTCTATGATGTGAACATGAGAGACACATGCTGGATAGAAGAAAAGGGTATCCCTCTCTATCCAAGCCTGATGAACATCTATTCTCTTCCCTTAAGAACATTTGTCAATATGCAGCACACAGAGATTAAAAACCAACAAACAATGATTTATTGGTTAATTATTATTAAAAAGCAGGAGGCCTGTACATCACGCAGGGCTCTCCTGGAGTCACTGAGCGAGTACAACACCCTACAAACACTTTGATTTCAAAATAAAAGATTTCCTTTTTCGTTCAGCCCAGCTGAATATTAGCAACAACAATCATCGGTTCTGAAAATGCCCAGTGCTTCCTGATACAATCACACAACTTTAGTTATGAAAAAAATAGATATCTATGTACATTATATAAACACACTTACATATATCACATAAATTAAGAGTGAAAAGATGCAATTCATAGGGAAGGCTGCTGTGCTTTCTGGGAAAAAGACCCCCCCCCCAATAATGTTTTGACTGGGGAAGAGCCAATGAAGAGGCTCCTGAACTCTGCCTTCCAAAGCAATGTGAAATCCATAATTATTGGAGTCCTACATTCAAAGACTGACCAGCTAAGTTCTGCCTGTTAAATAGGAACATTAGCCACCAACTAGTCTGCATCTGGGTGGGAAGCTTCACTTCCAATTACTACTCCAAACTGGGTATCAGCATTCCCATATTCTGAAGGCACGGTGGCAAATCTTCCTTCCCTATGCACAGTTGGCCATGGCATTCTCTGTGAATCAGCAGACCGTTGAATGTCCTGTGAATGGCCTCCTGGGACAAAGCAAATTGCTGAGAACACCCAGTTCCTTCTGCCTTGATGAGCCCTGTGCGGTGCAGCAGACAGCCAAAGGCGTTGTAATCCTACCCAGAGCCAAGATGTCAGCCAGAGTCCAATTGCAACAAAGTAATAATGGTTCACAATAACCTACTTGAGCCAAAATATCAGCTGTAATTACCTGAGCTCCCAGCTAGGAGCCAGAACACACACTTTGCCCCATAGAAGGGCTGGAGTCTAACACACACTGCTGGAGATAGCAGTTTAAGGGGCTCAGAGCCCACGTCAGTGCATACTGTGCTCAGAGATGCTCCTCTGAGCAAGGATGGGCCATGTCCAAGTCCGTGTGTGGCTCTTGCAGCTCTTAGCTCCTGTCTTGAACCTCTTCCTCCTTCCACCCACTGGAGTTCTTCCCAAATTTGTACACCAGTCGCCGGCCATCCACTCGTTCGAGGATCTCCCGCTTGTAGTAATACCTGAAGGAAGGAAGGAAGGACAGTGTTAGGGCTACATTTTTAAAAAAAGTAAAAATAAAAAAGCAGTCCTAGGAGAAACAAAGAGGACTAGGAATGCATTATGGTACAGTAGTTGCTACAAGAAGGGTGGAATAACATAGTACACAATCAAATATGAGATTGCCTTGAACACAGAGCTCCAAGCTGACTCCCATCACAGCCCAGTGACATAGGAGGTTGTGACTTATTCATAGCTGGCCAACAAAGCTTTGGAGCAGAGTGAGGAGTTAGACGCAAGGTTTCTGTCATCCAAATCAAAACACTCTTTTTGTGCTCTCTTGTGCTCCCTGCCCCGTAGTGCCTGGGGCTCCCTCCCAAATCTTCTTCATGGTCCCACTTCTCTCTTCTTCAAACCCATCCTCAGAGCCCACTTTGCGTGAAGCAGTTTGGGGTTAAACTTGTTTCCTGCTACCAAGGAACCTTTCTGCAGCCAGTGATGGAATTGATGAGAGTTGTAGTCCAAAACATCTGGAGGTCATCAGGCTGGCCAAGGCCGGCCTCCAGCAACTGCATTTGCTCATGTTTCCACCCCTTGCGACCCCTGTGTCCATTTGCTCCCCTTGATCTCTCTAGCTCTGATTTTCCTCAACACCAGAAATGCTTCTGGAGACTATAGTGCTACCTTCTTTGCTGTCCTTTCAATGTCAGCCAGAGATCATAGTATTCCTCCAGACCTCTTTAGACATCGTTTCAGCCCCGCTATCTGTTTTAATTTGATTTTAATTGTTTTTGTATTTCCATGAAAAACTGCCATGGGATGAGGAGGAGGAGGTTGATTGAAGGGTGGTTTTAAAATACCCACAAATCAAGGATAGGCCCATCTCCCATCAGCCCTTGTCTATTGGCCTTGCTGGCTGGGGCTGTTGAGAGCTGGCAACCATATCAGAAAAGCTTCAGGCTCTCCACTCCAGACTGAAATGCACAAGTACATACCTCATGGCTCTGCTCAGCTTCTCATAGGTCATGCTGCTGTTCTTTTTCTTTTGCCCCCAGAGCTGAGCCACCGCCTCAGAGCGCAGGAACTTGAAGATGCCTTCTCGTCGGTCTTCCCACTTCAACAACCCCTCATTCATCTCTGGGTGAATTAGGATGTCCCGGATGAATTCCCATAGGTGGATCCCTCTTGGAGCTGGTCATGAAAAAAGAGAGCAGGGAGGTCATATTATTCAAACTATCTGGAGGAACAGAACAGTCCCTAGCCTTTGAGGCCAACTGAGTGCCAAACCAGGGCATAAATCAGTTTACGTGGCAACGTCATGGCACCAGAAACTTGGCTGTCCCTTTGAGAAGGCTGCACACCTCCCAAGGAGGCAGAATATTTGGCCAATAGCAGAGCTGGAGTCGCTCAGCCCTGCATCTGAGGAACTGTTATGAAGGGGGACATTTCAGTATGCATGAAGTTGATAAGCTGTATGACCCCTGTCCCTACTCAGGAGGAATAAAGGCCATTGGTTTGCAAGCAGCCTCTCTGACTGTTCTAATGGATTAGGTGCGAGAATCCTTGCCATGGAGCTGTCTTGTCAAGTGGTTACACAGCACAGCAAGACATTTGTATGCTCCTTCAGTGCCCTTAATCTGTGTGGTGGTGCAGAAGGTGTTGGGGGCAAAACACTTGGATTGCATGCAATAGCAAAATATCCCTGAACTGTCCCTGCCCAAGTGTGAGAGATTCACTTACAGTGTTTGCTTTTCTTGGTCTCCAGGCAGTCTCTGCTGTCCTTGCTGACCTTCCTGGGCCGTCCCCTTTTCCGCTTCTTGAGATCTTCTTTCTTATATTCTGCGTAGTCACCTGTAGAAAAGGGGAGGAGGAGGACATGCTTAGCCTTATCTCCCAGACGGCCTGAAGTGAGATTAAACAGGAACACAGGAAACTGCCTTATATTGAGTCAGTGCCTTAGTCCATCTGGCTCAGTATCTACACTGCCTGGCACCAGCTCTCCAGATATTCAGACAGGACATTTTTCCAAGCTCTACCTAGATAGCCAGGGACGGACCTGGAACCTTCTTCCTTCAAAGCAGTTGTTCTACCACTAAGCTTCTTCTAGATTGAAAGACCACAATCCTTAAAATGGCATCTTTCAGCACCCACCTTAAAAGGGGGTGTAGCACTTGAGAGCCAGAATTTCTAACAATGGATAAAATCAGCTCTCTCTCTGGATGATACAAACCTGCAGTTCAAAACTGGGCTCTAACCATTTCTGCCTACAGAAGTGTTTATATCCCAGTTCTGTTGTAGTGATTGATTTCAGTTTACCCGGCTTTAGCATTAAAAAGCCACTTTGGGGGCCTTTTTGGCTGAACGGCAATGTATAAATGCTTCAGATAAATACATTTTTTTTGCAGTTAAGCTGTGTCAGAACTACTCTGATTAATCTCCAAATTTGTCCCTTCTTTTGCAGAGTCAGGATTTTTTTTAAAAAAACCCAATACTATCCTTGCCAAGCTCAGTATGCTACACACTCTCATTTCCCCTTTCAACACGAACTGTGCCCTACATCTCTCCACTGTTGTTTATGGTGAGTCAGTAATCTTTGTCTTCCATCTAACTAGTTTGCCTTTGACAATGCAAGCTGCTGTGTTGGTGCAGATACTAAGGCAAATGTGTGCACAAACACAAACAAACTTGTATTTTCCTAAAATCCAGATCAATTATCCATTGATAATCCCCTCTATATCTTACCATCAGAAAAGTGGCAGTGCTTCATGTCTATGGGGTCGAGATCTAGGTCACTTCCACCGGAGTCCTGAGACTGAGGGCTCTGAGACATCGTCCCTGAGAAAGGAGAAGAATGGAAGGTCAGCTTCTTCTAAGAGCCCTGAAGTCACCAATGTTCTAACTGTAATTGTGGGATTCAGCAAGTACCCTCTATGAGCACCCATTGGAATCTGAGAAAATATTAGGCCACTTTCATGCCATTCCATTTAAAGTACTATAATACCACTTTAAGCAGCCCTGGCTTCCCACAAAGAATTATGGGAGCTGTAGTTTGTTACAGGTGCCAAGACAGAATTGGGGGAGGGAGGATCCATACCTGCTAGAGAAGCTGAGCTGTCTGGTGACATGGCCCCAGAGATGTAGCCAAGGTCGGACTGGGAGAAGATGTTTGCTAACTTCATCTCTTCCAGGTAATCCTGATTGTAGGAATTTCCCAGTTCTAGGAACAAATAAAGGGAGAAGTTGAGGGTTAAATGTGTACACACACACAGGGAGAGAGACCATAGGCAATTAACCACAAAGCAGAGCAAGGAAATACATTTTTTCCCTCACCTAATGGGCTAGAGTCCAGAAGGGCCTCTTGAGAGACATCTTCGCTCCTTAGCACAGACATGATCCAGCCAAGTTCATCCGGGACAGATGCTACAAGTGAGGGAGAAAAGTACATTCTTTGTGAATAACAAGACCAAGCGCTACTCTGTACTGCCCCTGCTTTCTTCCTTGATTCAGGAACAAGCTAAAAGATTCTCAGCCCTTGGTATTGGGGGCTAAATGGTGGCACTGATTTACAGACGACTGGGACCAGAAATATGGGAGTGCCCCTCCTGGTCAAGAGGGACCATTGGGTCATGGGATGCTGCCTAGATAGAGCTGCCACTCTTTTTCACAGGTCCTGCTTTTTCGGTTTGAGAAACAGCTGGACACACAGTAACTTAGCAAGCAGAGATTTTGCTGGCATGAGGATAAAGCCATTGCAAAAGCTTGTCATTTGTAAACATGGTGTGGCTGGTGTGAAAAGGCCCAAGAGTGGGGCCAGTAACACAAGACTGCAACCCTTTTGCTGTGCGTCATGACTTTGCACCAGCGCCTGTTTTTCTGAAAGCCTCTCCGCTTGAGCCAACCACTGTGAGCTGATATGGTTCTAGCCTTGGGGCCCAAATGCAATTCCCTCAAGTCCTTCTGCATCAAAGGAAGGGCACCCTGCGCTTACTGATTTCGTGCAGGCGGTCGTAGAGCTCATCGCCAAGGGGCCCGAAGATGAGTCCCAGCTGGTCCCGCGTGTATTGGCAAAGTGTGTAGCCATCCATATTGCAGCAGGAGAAGTCAATGGCACTGGCATCGTACTTGTTTTTCTCCACATGGTAGCTGATCCACTCCAGCACTTGAGCCCTGCTCCAGCAGTGTGGCATCTCGCCATACCATGTGGGCTTGCCTGCAGAGAGGGGGGGAGGGAAGGAGAGAAGGGGCTCAGTGGGGCAGGCGCCACATGGGATTCTGCTCGGCCAAGTCAGCCTCTGGAACACTCTTGCTGGCTGAGCAGCACAGGGTGTGGCCAGTTCACTTACGCACAGCGTTTATCTCGCTTAGTCACTGTGGTTGGGTTAACATGCACACCTGTCACCTGTTCCCTTATCTCTGGGCAGGCCCCTCCCCACTGGGGTGAGGTCATTTAGGACACCAGTTCTCCGCTCCCAGCTCAAGCAGCCACAACTTCATTAGAATATCGTACTGTATGTTGCCAAGAACAGCAATGCATGCAGAGCTATTTTATGCCCCAGCGGCCATTCCCTTGCAAAATGGCCACCCTTTGTAGCTTTTCACAGTCCCCCGAGTTTCACGTAGTGCACCTTGTATAAAACTACTCAGCTCTACTTCTCTACAAGGATTTAACTCAGCCTCTTATCTTCTGCAGGGTCTAATCTTTAAATAAGGTGAGTGGCAGTGTTATATGGCACAGTTCAATTGCTCAAAGCACTTCATGTAAATCAGAGGTAAGGACCCTGATACCCCCCCCCCCAGATGCTGTTGGGACTCCAGCTCTTATCAGTTTCAGCCAGTATGCCCAATGGCCAGGGATGATGGGAGTCCAGCAACAGCAGGAGGGCCACAGAGCCCCCACTGCCATGTGCATCCACCCAGCATTGGTGAAGGGCAGGGGTAGACAACATGATGTCCTCCAAGTGTTGTTGGACTACAATTCCCATCAGCCCCAGCCAGCATGGCCAATGGCCAGGGTTGATGGGAGTTGGGGTTTTGTCCAACTATGTTTTATGGGAGTAAACCCACTGAAATGAATGGACCTAGGTTAGTCATACCTGTTAATTTCAACGAGTCTACTTTAAGTTTAACTAATACTGGAGACATCTTATGGGGGCACCCCCCATCGCCCCATAGATATCAGGGGTTCAACCTATGTAAGTGGGGGTGAGATCACACTGGAAGGAGTCTCCAACCTCTACTCCAGTAGGCTTGCTGATAGACAATACTTGTCCTGCTGCTGTAGGAAGCAGAGCCCTCAGAGATCACAGAACTGTAGAACTGGAAAGGACTCCAATGGTCATCTAGTCCAACCCCTTGCAATGCTGGGATCTCAACTACAGCACACATGACAGGTGGTCATCCAACATCTGCTTAAAAACCTCCAAGGAAGGAGAGTCCACCACCTCTTGTGGGAGATTGCTCCACTGTCAAAGAAGCTCTTACTGTCAGAAAGTTATTCCTGATGTCTCCATTGTTCCCTATATATATTTTGTACCCACATCTTGCAGCAATAAGCTGTGGACACCTACCTGTTGTCTCTGTGGCCATCTGGGTGTTAGACAAAGTGAGAGAAAGGTTATCATCATCTCCAAGGTGGGTCAGTAGGTCTGGGTCGGGTGGTGCTTCTTCTGGCTGGTACATGGCGCTGAAGTAGTTTGAGATGAGATTGCTGATTTCACAGGATCCTGCCATGGGATTTTCTGCCAGAAGATTGGAGTTGTTAGACTTGGGAATGGATCCAGCCGGCTCCACCAGCCCCATTCCCCCATGAGCTTGCTTTGATCAAACACGGCCTTTCCCTCCACCCCTCCAGTACACCTAGTTCCCAGCATACTGCTGCTCCTTCATATTCTCAACCTGTCCTTCAAGCCCCTTGTGATTGGGATCTGTCCAAGATTCATAAATATCTGAGCCAGGATCCCAAAGTACAAAGCCACTGATTTCTAACCAAGGAATTCCCACAATAGAATAGCATTTATTGTGTAGGTCCATGGACCGCAGCGGAAGAATTCCCACAACAAATCAAGGTACGCTTCTAGTTCATTTTATCGTTCATTTTATTTATTTACTTTTAAATATAATTTTCCCACTGCCCACTGTTAAGATTTTGGCTTGAAATAAAAAGGAACAGTCCCAACAACTTTGCTTTGGCAGGGAAATTACATCTCCCCCAAACTTGGCCGATACAGCAACGGACAAAGAGACAAGAAACAGAGATTTCATGCTTATTACTTTCACAAAGGTCCCCTGCCCATCAACCTTTAATCAGCTCTGGGACTCACTAACACCTCCAAGAAGCCCATTTTTAAAAATTTGCTTTTTGCCTTCTCTTTCCAGGCTCAGGCTGGAGCCATAAAGTCAATGTTGACTCTCAGGCTACTTCTGAAGCTTCCAGCTCCTGCTATTGCATTGTGTGTCCAAGAAGCCCCTCTGCCCTTCACCAGCCCCCACTCGATGCTCCAGGCTATTGGAGAGAAAGCTCTGTTGGCTCTGTGGAAACAGCCTGTTCTGAATCATGAGAGCCTCACCTTACACGCTCATCCATTTATCACTCATCCCTGCCAATCCCTAATGTCTCTCCCTCCCCTCCTCATCATGGCCATAGATTGTAAGTCCTCTGAGCAGGATAGGGATCCCATCAGATCTGCGAGCCGCACAGCAAAGTTGGAGGTATGCAACTAGTAAATTACAGTAGAAAACCGGTGAGAGCAAGTCAGCCCAGACTCAGCATGTTTTTCCTTTTCTTTTGCCAGATAACTACAAACTGCCCAAAGGACGGGCACTGGAGGCAAACGTTTTTCGCTTTTCCAAGGCTTCAAAAAGCATAATAATTCCTTGGCTGGTCCTGACCAAGAAATCCATCTGGTCCACATTCTGTTTCCAGTGATGGTCGGTCAGGTGCGTTTGGAAGCTCATAAGCAGAGAGTGAAGGTGACTGGCATCCTATTTTTTAGTCTCCATCAGTAACTTGGCGGTAGGGGCTGCTTGTTTTTTTGGCAGCAACTTGATCAGCTAAGAAAGTGCACCACAGCAGCATCCTTAAGGAGAACTGAGCTCAACACAGATCAGGCGCAGCAACTCCACATCCATCCTCTCCCCCTTTCACGCCCCCACCATTTTACCTACCAGGCAGGTAACTCTGACAGCAGTTAATCAATCCACACAGTAGTAAGCTCCTAAGGCAGAGTCCTGGACGCTTCAGCTCCCGCTCACCTGTGCCCAGGTATTTGTGACTCCACTCCCTGTATGGCTCAGCCCCTCCCCATAGCTGTCCCTTTTATAGGGCGTTCTTCAGTAACCTGATCTCCACCTCTAGGGGAATTCCTAGAACAGGTACTCAGCTCCCGCCCCAGGAAATTTGCATAATATGTGCCACCTGGGACTCTGCCAGCCTACCTTGACGGGAAATCTGGGCTGACAGTTTAATTATTACCAGAGAGCTGGCAGAGCTTGTGCCAGTTTCACCCAGGACGCTGTTTTTCTCCCTTTTCATATCACTAGTGTTTGTTTGCTCATCAAAGCAGATAAACCAGCCTGCTTCTCCCTCCCCTGCCAAGAATAGGCCCATATAAATGAGTCTGATGGGGGCAGTTGCCACCTGTTGTTCCATTGGGTGAAGGTGAAGCAAGTGTCATCCTTCGGTCAGAAACGGAAAACGTTTTCATATGGCCGGCAGACTCCACACTCCTCTCTGTGACCCCCTTCAGGGCTGAGGCCAGGATTTGGCTAGGGCTTTTGATGCAACATCATCAAAGCAACAATTCATGCTTTTGCTTCGGTGGACTTTAGTCCACGAAAGCTTCCATCACAACAAATCTCTCCTGAAGGTGCCATGGGATTTCTTTGTTGGCTGCCTACAAGAAACCAACTGCAACCCTTTCAAAGTTAGGTCACTAGGAAGGCTGTCATCCTATTTCCACCTACCTGGCGACAGACCCCTTTGAACTTAGCGGAGCTTACTTGTGAGCAAACCTGGGTAGGTTTGCACTGCAAAGCACTGAAGTTAGCTTATATTCACCCTATTCCATTGTTTTGGGTGGCACACGACCCCCAATCCTGTCCATGTTTACGCAGAAGCAAGTGCCACTGAAGTCAAAATGACTTACTCACAAATAAACATACGTAGAATTCATTATTAAGGCTGCTTACTAAAGACATAGTATGGGCTTTCTCCTCTGAAACTAATACAAAAAGAAAGAAAGAAAGAAAGAAAGAAAGAAAGAAAGAAAGAAAGAGAAAACGGGTAGAGCTCCATGGAGGAAGACTTTGAGATACGTAGAAATTCTCTGATTTAGAGGCAAAATACAGAGAGGTATCTTTGCATCCAGTGCTCTCCTACCGATTTGAGAACCGGCACACAAACAACATTAGCCACAACCTGTCATTTCTTATAAAATATATATTTCTTTATTACATTTATATACCCCCTTTTTCTTCCAAGGACCTTGAGGTGGTGTACATGGTTCTCCTCCTCCCCATTTCATGTCATTCTCACAGCAACCCTGTGAGGTAGGTTAGGCTAAGAGATGGTGACTGGCCTGAGGTCGCCTACCGTGCTTCATGGCTGAGTGGGGATTCGAACCCTGCTCTCCCAGGTCCCTGTCCAAAGCTCTGACCATTATGCCACTTTTCCCCAAACCAGCTTTGATCCGAGCAGAGAAAAAGAGTGACTGCGTTTTAAGCTTTTGCTTGATCACAAACAAAAGAGTCTTGCGGCACCTTAAAGACAGGCAGATTTATTGTGGCATAGGCTTTTGTGACCTAGAGCCCAAGATGCCCCCTGGATACAGGGTCCCGGGGCACTCGTGGGCTTCCCAGAGGCTTCCCACTGTTGGGAACAGGACGCTGGTTTGCATGGACCTTTGTTCTGATTGAGCAAGGCTGTTATTATGATGTCAGCGCAGAAATACCAGCGTTGGGAGAGCACTGCGCTGTCCTCTGCTCTGCCACTGCCCCCTTCTGTTACTGGAGGCAAGACCTGAGGGAGTTTACACAAACTGCATTAGGGGCGTACTGCCTTACATGCCGATGTCTTCAGCAGAAGCGAGAAACTGGAAGAGAGCTGTATGGAAAGCAAAGGAACATACATCCTAGTCCAAGTGGGTTTTTCATTTTGCAACAACGCTGCTCACCCAGCCCCCCCAAAAACTTCAGCATCGCTCGCAAAAAACCATTCATTGTCTCACCAAATTCAAGGGGCCTCCTCCTTTCTGTACACAGCCCTGCCTTGCAGGTGTGTATCGAGGTGGGATTACTGCGCAGAGATTGTAATGAGCTAGGCAGATCTCTCTTTCTCCCCTTTTCTTATTGCAGGATGGTTGCTGGTGCTTCCAGGTGGGTGAGCTGCTTATTCACAGCAGCTAACAGCTTCGTGGAAACCTTAAGCGGGCCACCAACCTGCCTAGCTGGCTCAGCCACAGGCAACGGGCGCGTCATGCCTCATTGACGTCAACCTCTAGTACAAAGGCATTTCTGAGAAGGTTGCCAGGCACAGGGTTTGCCCCAGTACTCTCACACCACTTCGGGACAGTGGGGGTTGGGCAATTTGGGACTCTGGACAGGTCCTGTAGTGGCCCTTTAGATGGCAATTGGTATTACTTCACCAACTTCGAAAGGGGGTGAGCCAGCCCTGCTGCATTTGTGAGGGGCTCCAGGTCATTCTGCTGGGCTCTGGACATCTGCCCCAAAGTCCTGGTCAGATGCCACCATTGCTTAGGAGGCACCAGTTCAGGATGGCTCACTCTCCCACCTGACTCCAGCATTTCCCCTGACAAAATAGCTCTTTGTGCAGGACCTGCTCTGTGCTTTTGTGACTAAGACACAGTTCTTTGGGACTGGCAATATTTCTTCTGTCTGTGCCAAGACAGCATTATTACACCTAGGACCTTAGAGTGAAGGGTGAGTAAATAAACGACAACAACAAGGGCAAAGAATTAATACATAAGTCCCCTGCACACACCCATTTCCCCCTAGTGGAGCTCCTGAACCTCTTTGGCAGCTGCACAGAAGGCAGAAATTCAGCAGGTCCAGCTTGTCAAGGGATGCTGATGGCAGAATGGAGAAAGCTTCACCTACTGATTTTCTGTGGGTCATGTGGTTGCTATTAAGTCACAGGAGCCATTGGGGGTGGGTCCCTCTCAGCAGCCCAGCCTAGAGTCTTTGTAATTTCTTTTCTCTGTAATTTCTTGTTTGTTCTTGTAATTTGCAAATGCCCCAAAGACCAAACATTGACCTTGGTGTGGTGAGAGAAAGGAGGACAAAGAAGCTGAAAGAAGGCACAGCCTCCATTCCTAAACACATTAACTGTGCCTTGGAGTTCAATAGAGCTTACTCCCAACTGAGTCTACAATCCTACACACAAATGCCTGCCTGAGAGCCCAACCCACTGAAGTCAATGGGACTTACTTTTGACTAGAGGATGGCACTATTATTTCCAAATTCCACTTGTTTTCACTGTAGCCAATCACTAAGTAAATATGCTTAGGATCATAGTCCTATTAAGGCTTATCTCAGAGGTTTTCTCATGGCTTAGTCAGGCTTATCCCAATGGTTTTACCATGGGGAAATTATTCCTGAACAATTGCAGCTAATCAGGCAGGCTCAGAAAAGAAGGGTGTGTGTGGCCGTCAGCTTAAGGTGCTGGGACACCACTTTAAGCAATCACGGCTTCCCCTAAATCAGGGGTGGCCAACTCCCAAACGACTGTGATCTAGTCACAGGGAGGAGGAAAGCCCCATTTTTAAGGGGTTCAGGTCACAGTTGTGAAGGGTGACACTGTGAGTTGTTGGGAGATTCCCATTTCCCTCCCAGAGCTACAATTCCCAAAGTGGTTTGACAGTCAATTCCTCTTCACAGGGAGCTCTGGGAATTGTAGTTCTAGGAGAGGCATAGGGTGCTTCTAAGAACACTCAGCACCACAGTTCCCAGAATTCTCTGGGGGAAGCCATGACTATTTATAGTGGTATCATAGCACCTTAAATGTATGGTGCGAATGGGGCCTGGGTCTACGACACCCAGGACCAAGGTTTCCTTGAAAGAATTAACCCATGATTTTCAAATGGCAGGACTAGTTCGGGTTTTAGATTCACATGATTTTTGAAATGAGACAGAAAATAATGCATAATCAATATTAATCATTTTAACTTAATCTTTTAAGTTTTGCACAACAGGAATTACATTGATAATGTAAACTTATTTATGAAGTATCTACTTGTACAATAGACTATTTTTTACAGGACATAGTTTTGACAGGACTCATGTACCTTAAGAAAAAACATTTTTATGCAGGGTTGCTGGATGTGAATTTGACAGTCCCTGCGAGAGTGCTTTCCATACCTCAGTGGCTGAGCACATGATCCAAAAATTCCAGCTGGACAACTCCAGGAAAGGTGTCTATCCAAACCCTGAAGAAATGCAACCAGTGATTCTCCAGTGATGGATCAGATCTATCTTTTGATGAGCAGGGAGGGAGCAATAGCCCTCTTCCTGAGGTGATCTGCAAGGGGCAGCTGGGGCAGCAGCTGCATGTGCCTCTGCGCATGTATGTCCTAAGATGGAGGGCACAAAGAGAAGGGGACGATGGAGGACGAGATGGTTGGACAGTGTTCTCGAAGCCAAACTGACCAAACTGCAGGAGGCAGTGGAAGACAGGAGTGCCTGGTGTGCTCTGGTCCATGGGGTCACAAAGAGTCGGACACGACTAAACAACAACAACAACAAAAACCCACCAGCCACTTCTGGTTCCTTCCAGGTGTGAAGGACTTAATGGAACCATAAACATCCAGGGGGTTGACCACAGTCTGAGCTTCGTCAATTACTTACCCAAAGAAGAAATGCCCTCCCTCTTGAGAACCCAGTTTGCTGAGGAAACAGGTGCTCCATTCAAAGCAAACTTAGACATGACTGTCCTCTAGTGGCCAGTATAGATTGCAAGAGACCATGTTCCCTTTATGCACAAACTAAACTTGTAAAAAAGAGAGAGAGAGAGTGAAAATAAATTGCAAATGACAACTGTCCTGTACTTGGTGATGGTGATCAGATTGCCACTGTAACAGATACTGATATTTCTATTGAGAATAAGAGTAGTGAGGAACAGGGAAGAAATACCAGCAGCATGCACAAATTTACTCCCTGGAAACTCTAGCTATGCCTATTGCTTATTGCATTACATCCACTGTAAGTAATTATTTCATTATCGTATTACATCCACTGCTCTGCTTTCTTTTGCCCACCACTGGCAAGGTATCCTATGAGGGGATGTAGACAGAAAAAAGTTCCCCACTCCTGCATCTCTACCCAATGCTTAAAGAGCTTCAACACACATCAGTCCTGGCCACATCTGTGGGCAGGAGCTCTGTGGCCCTGTTTCCTTGACATTCTGCAAAATCACTACTGGGAGGGAGAGAGATAGGGCACTTCTCACTGTGCCTTTGAGTAAGAAATAACATGTGGAGAGCCAGGCCCCCCAAAGAAACCTGGAGGGAATTACTGCTTTCAGTGGTGTATTTCAACTCCATAAGACTGCAGACTTTACATTTCCATTATTTTGGAACTATGGATAGCAACACTAGATAGGAAACCTAAGCTGAAGGTCCTCCCCTTACAACGTGACAGCTCTTCTCTGCTGTGGATGGCACAGAACCATAGAATCGTAGCGTTGGAAGGGCCCACGAGGGTCATCTAGTCCAACCCCCTGCAATGCAGGAATCTTTTGCCCAACGTGGGGCTTGAACCCACAACCCTGAGATTAAGAGTCCCATGCGCTACTGACTATACTAGCTATCCAGGGGCACGAAGGATACTCCTTTCACCTGGGTGACCAGATGGCACCAACATGTAGAACAAGGGGAGATCTGTAACACGCAGAAGCTGGAAGGGCCTCTGTAACTTGCATTTTTATCCAATAAAGCATGTGTCTATGGGGCTCCCCCTCTACTCTCACTGCAACTAATTGTAGCCGCAGGGGTGCATCAGGGGGTGTGTGCATGCCCCCCCCGAAGTAGTTATCCCCCATCATCTTTATGCCCCTGGGCTTACCTGAAGGGAAGGCACTTTTCACATGCAAATCATAACATAGTCATAATCTGGGAATTAAAATAAGGTTCCAATCCTATGCATGCTTACTTGAAGGTTAACTCCATCCAAATCAATAGGTCTAACTTCAGAGAAAATGTTTTAAGATGGGAGTGTTAAAATGAAACAAATCATTAGTTCTCTTTCAGAAGTCTAACATGTGGGACAATGTTGGCAACACATCCTGAATTTCACTTTGCTCCTTCTATGCACCCCAGGAGGCTCACAGCCCATCTACTGCCACCCAATGGCTATGTGGCCTATTCTATGGGGGGGAGAAATGTTGCAGTTGCCTAGCAACCACGTTCTACTTTTGCAGGGATTGTCGACGAGGTGCCCTTTGGTTGTTGTTGGACCCCATCTCCCATCAGCCCCAGTCAGCATGAACAATGGTGAGGGGATGATGGGAGTTGTAGTCCAATGATAACTTGAGGGCACGATTGCTTCCGAGTCATTTGGTATTATTTGTTGTATGGTGGGGTCTATGGAGCAACCCTCGTGGTACAAATTATCCAGCAGTCATCATAGACCCCTTCATGCTCCACTGTGGCCTTGGGCTCTTATTTGTGGCACTAAAGTATTGTTGACAAGCCTGACAACAAGGCTGCTCTGCAGGGTGGCTCCAACAGATCCTATGGCTCAGTGACTCCCAAAGCATTTTGTTCAATTACATCAAAGCATTTTGTTCAATTACATCAGTCAGATTGCAGTCAAAACAAACTGTCTCTGCAGGTAGAACCTGAACGGCCAGCTCAGAAGGCACCTGATATGCCAGTGCAGATTTGGGTCATTTGTGCAAAGATTCGTTTGAGGAAAAAGGGAGTGTACAGAGCAAAACCAGGGCAAGAGACTGGTCATTGCTTCCATATGCAGCGATTCCTTACAGCAGAGTTTGGTTTTGGCCCCAGTCACTCATAAGCTTTAGCTGTTTGTGTATATAGACATTTACCTCATAATCTAAATATTCATAATCTTCTAACCACTTAAGCATCCAAACAGATTGACACAATCTTTCAGACTTGCAACTGCTTACATTCATTTGGCCTGAGCTCCACAGGCTCTTAGTTCTGCTGCCACACTGCCAAAAATCAGCCCCATGTTAGCCTCCCCTGAGACTTTTCTATGCCACGTACGGTATGTTTAGTAGCCAAAGAAACAATTGGTTGGTGGGCCCATATGCTCACTTTCTTGCCATGCATTTGCCACAGGTGACACATGGCTCTAAATCAGAATTGCCGTCCTGCTGATCTGATCTGTACCCTCCAAAAGCAGCCGTCATAACTTGCAAAAGTTTTACCTTGACTTAGAATCAAACTGTGGTTGGGGAAAATTGATATAAAATTCACAGATTGCATACTATTAAGAGAGAATTACATGAAAATGATGTATAGATGGTGTATCACACCAGTGAAAATGGCCAAGATGTTTAGGAAAGAAAATAAAAGATGTTGGAGATGTAAGGAAAAGGAAGGAACATTTTATCATATGTGGTGGGAATGCAAATGCATTTAAAAAATATTGGGAAATGATATACAATGAATTGAAAAAAAATATTTAAAATGAATTTTGTTAAACACCCTTAAGCCTTTTTTAATGTATCTGAAATCAAGAGCTACCAAAAGAAAAATGGACATTATTTATGTATGCTATAACAGCGGCAAGAATCTTGATTGCACAATATTGGAAGACGGAAGAAATACCATCAAAGGACCAACGGCAAGAAAAGCTGATGAACATGGCAAGAAAAATTGATGGACTATGCAGAACTGGCAAAACTGACATATACCGGTAAGCTACGGGACAAGGATAAATGTGACTTTAAGGATGAATGGGAACCCTTTACAAAGTATCTGAAGATGCAACAAAGAGAACTGGACTCCTTGGCAGGTTTTGAATAAACATTCACAAACTTTTTATTGATAATAATCAGCTAAATAGTTTGAGGATCTATACAACTTTGTAACATGCAGAAAACAGCAGTCTCAGAGAAACCAAAGACTGGAACTGAGGGAAGTCGGGGGGTGGGGGTGGGTGGGTTCTGTGTGGGAGGAGGGGAAGGAGGAAAAATGGGGGGAGGGGACAAGGATGATATGTTTTTGGATAATATGTCTTGTTTTAATTTTGAATTTAAAAAAATTAAAAAGAAAAGCTGATGAACTATGCATAATTGGCTAAGCTAACAGATAAACTACGAGAGAAGGAGAAAAAGGACTTCAAAAGTGTCTGGGAACCATTTACAGTTTATTTGCCGAAACAACAGAATGGACCGGATTCACTGGCAGGATTTGAATAAATTTTCACAATTTCATTTGAGTAACAGATATTTCAGAGAAATCATTTTTTTTTAATTTTTGGGATTTTATTTTCGTGTAGCAAAAGCAGGAGACGATAAATAAAACTAAATAACTCAGCCCAGGGGAAGTTGAGGGAAGTCCAGAGGAGGGGAGGGAGAATAATTGTAAATAACATGATGAATGAGATTTCTACCAATATTTGTTATAATATTCAAAAAATATCCAGAAAGAAAAGAAAAGAAAAGAAAAGAAAAGAAAAGAAAAGAAAAGAAAAGAAAAGAAAAGAAAAGAAAAGAACTGTGTCTGGGGACATGCTTGTGTGGTCTTGGTGTCTGCATTATGCTGGATTTCTGATGTTGACTTGCCAATGACATGGAACTGCGAGTTTTAATAATATGGGAATCTCTGGCATCTCCACTTTCTCAGGCCAAAAAAGGCTGTAAAATATTGAAAGCAATTGCTGGAATGCAATAAACGCACCATAAAAAAATATGGAGCGGGGGCCAGGCCTGCACACAGAAGGGGCAAGGTGCATTCTGGGACAGAGGGTGAGGTTTATCATTTGTGATTTCTGGAACTGCAGATTACTAGGAGAAGCAAGCAGTGCCAAACCCCCTTCCCCCAAACATCTGCAGTGATATTAGGCCTTTGCCATTTCAGTTTCTACATATGCCAACTGATCGCTCATCAGGAATAAGCGACACACAGAGGAAGGAAACCTCGGTCTTGAGTTACGTTAGACTTCGGGTTTGAAGCAATTTTTGCTTTGTTTTAAAAACAGAACCCTGAGATCCCCAATCAGGTACGAAAGAGCAACTCGGAAGGGAGGAAAACCCAATATTCAGTGACTGAGCACATCTCAACACATTCTTGGCCTAAGAATTTGTCTTTTGAGTACCAGCTTTCACACAGAAAGCCACTGTTGGCTTTCTCCCAAGTTCTCTCTGCTACCAATCACCCGCAGAAGCCCCAGGAGATTCAGATCTACCTTCTGCCCTCCCCCAGCTAGAGAAAAAGTCTCTGCCTCTCTTAAGCAATGTATCGCCACCTGCTGCACCGAATGGAAATAGCCAGGAAATTAGCCACTATGTGCTAAACCAGATGTTTGGGACCACTGGTCCTGCTAGCTAGGGATGATGGGAGTTGTGGTCCCAAATCATCTGGAGAGCCAAGTCTGGGGATGCCTGTGCTAAACCAACTCACTTATGAGCCATACCACTTATTGCTCAGTCCCCATTTTAGCCACTGCTAGTCTAGGCAGAAGTAGTCCAGTAACGGACTATATATCTAACAGCAGCTTAAAGCAGCCTTTCTCAACCTGTGGGTCCCCAGATGTTGTTGAACTACAACTCCCATCACCCCTAGCTAGCAGGACCGGTGGTCAGGGATGATGGGAGTTGTAGTCCAACAACATCTGGGGACCCATAGGTTGAGAACCACTGCCTTAAAGTGACAGAACACAAGCTTTGTCTAGTCAAACATTGCACCGACCAACAAGTAAACCTCCAGGTCTCTTGCATTTTAATCTCAGAGTAATAATTGACCTGTCATAGGAAGCTGCCATATACTGAATCACACCTTTGGTCCATCTAGCTCAGCATGGTCTACACAGGACCATCAGCATTTCTCCAGGATTTCAAACAAGGGGTCTTTCCTAGCCGAACCTGGAAATGTCGGGGATTGAACCTGAGACCTTCTGCATGCAAAGCAGAGGCTCTGCCGCTGAGCTATGACACTTCCCCATAACTGTGCATAGCAGTTGTGTAAGAAACCCTTTAGAAACGCTGACCCGTTGCTCACATTTACATTCAAAGGTTATGGGCCAGACTGAGTCTAATTTCCCTTTCCTTACCCAATTGTTTGCCTGCTTCTTCACTACCGCTGTCTCTCTCTGGATCCATTTTGGCTGCCGACAGCTTCTTCTAGCAGCTCCGTCCTCCCATAGCAAAAGCAGAAGCCCCAAGAAACTAAGCTGCGTAGACACAAGAAGCCGCTCACAGGGAAAGAGCTGAAGCAGCCTTGCTCTGTTGCACAAGGAAGTAACCTTCCTGTCTGGTGCTAGCTGGCTGCGATAGCAACCGAGAGCTGCAGACAGAAGAGGAAAACCACAAGAGGCAAGTGGCCCACCCAACATGTGGTCACCGGCTAATGGTTAGGAACAGGGGCGGAGGCAGCGGCAGGGGAGAGGAAAGACAGTGCTGTGCTGCAAAGCTCAACAATAACCTGCGTAACGGGAAGGCACAATCGCTTACTGCAAGAGAGAAATAGGGAGGAATGAGAGGGCATATGGGAGGAAGGGCAGAGAGATTGTGTGCGAGGCAATTTTAGGCCTCGAGTGAGGGAAGGGGGAGGGGAGAAATGCTGGAGAGGAGGGGGAATCAGGGAAGGGGCAGGTGGAAGTAGCTGAGGCTAAAGGAAGTATTAACTGTGCTGCCGAGGAGCAAGAGGGTACATTGAGAGGAAAGAAGGGGAATATGTGAGGGGGTAAGTGGTTGAGGGAGGTATAAAGAGCTGTGGAAGAGGAGGGGCATTTTTAGGCCACTGCTGTGGAGATTTCACTCAGGCCGACTGTAGCGCTGCCCTATAATTCTGTGCCCCCACCGCCCTCTGTATCAACTGATAACAGCAGAACAGAATAATGGATAAAGAATGGAAACCTCATTCCTCTACTGGTTTCTAGCCATCTTCTCAAAAGAGCCAAACCACACTTTTGAACTCCAGCACCAAACCATTGCTATGGTGAGGGCCCCATGATCCGACGTCGCCAGGGTAGAAACAGAGTAAGCACATGAGCACAACATACGGTTGTATTAGCATTTCACTTGAGTGCCTGGCGCCTCAGAAGCAGCAGCAATAGTCTGGCTTCCCCCTTTCTGAACTGAGGCAACAAAATTTTACATGGAAGAGGAGCACAGCACATTAAATTAACAGAGGTAGGGTAGGACTATGGCAGCCTGCAGCCCAATCACAAGGCGTGTGCAGTGTTGCTTCTTTCTGAGCTGCAAGTTTTAGGGACAGGACAGGAATCCACTTCTGTTGCCGCCTGAGCTGCCTGCAGGGATGCTTTTGCATCTTGCTTGTTTTTGAGAAGTATAATTATCAACAAGGAGCGTGACAGAGAATGTGGTCTGTGGTCAGAGCCTCAGATGACAAGGTATCATCATGACGTAAAAAACACACACATCGGCTTGCAAGGCTGGGAGTATGGTGGCTCTGTGGTTGGCCGCTTGCTCATGCCTTGCCTGTGCCCTTTTCTGTTTAAAAATTACACACACACTTTTGTGGGAATAGGAAAGGGTAGAGAAGGTGTGTCTGCACATCCCTGGCCTTCTCTTCGTGTTGCTGCCTTCCTTGGAAACTTGCAGGGCTCATGTACCTTAAGAAAAAACATTTTTATGCAGGGTTGCTGGATGTGAATTAGGGAATCGGGGCTGGATTTTTAAAAGAGGGAATCAATGTTTAAACTGAAATTCCTTCCTTCTTCTTCTCCCAGCTTTATTACATTCTCAAATATCTAACCCCCCCCCACAAGTTTTCATTTTTTTTAAAGGCGGCATATAATGGGTTGATTTCATCTTTTTAGTTACATGATAAAATAACTGTGTTTCATAAATTACCAATCTTATATGGTAGGTGTAGAGAACTTTTGGCCCTCCAGATATATGCTGAACTACAGTTCCCATCTGCCCCAGCCAGCGGCGTAGCGTGGGTTGTCAGCACCCGGGGCAAGGCAAGTAATTTGCGCCCCCTAACCCGGGGCAAGGCAAGTAATTTGCGCCCCCTAACCCCTAACGTGCCGTCGCTGCCAGCTTCTTGCTGCTGCCTGGGCTGGTCTGGTGTGGTTCTCTCCCGCGCTCAGCACTGTGCTGGGCGGCCGCTGCACTGTCCCTCCCCCAGATAGTCCCTCGCTCTCTCTCCGCACCGCACGCCTGGCACCCACCCCCTCCACAGTGGGCGGCGACCCAGCGGCTCGGATCGGATTCGCACAGCCAGCACTGCAGTGAGAGAGAGTGAGTGAGCCAGGCAGGGGCAGAGAGCTGCGAGTGCACCCCCCCCCCCAGATGTTGCGCCCGGCACCCCCTGCACCCCCCACGCTACGCCACTGGCCCCAGCTGGCATGGCCAATGGACAGGGATGATGGGAACTGTGGTCCAGCAACATCAGGAGGGTCAAAAGTTCCCCCTACACATGCTATATAGTAATGGGTTGCAATGATAATTTGTTCCAAGTACTGGAAGGGAACAGAGATACTCAAAACAGGAACATGAGAAAGTAGGTTGCATGAATAATAACAGTAGATAAACTCATACCCTTTTTAAAGAACTAAAGACGGCAGATAAAAATGTAACTGATATAATGAAAACTGGCAACTATTATTTACAGAAACAAAAAAAAAACATATTTATTTATTTTAATTACATTTTCTATATCACATTTTGGAAACTTTGAGATAGAAATTTTGTGTATATAATTTTATGTTTACATTTACAAACCTTTTTTTAAAAAAAAGTGGAAAAAAAGTTTAAATCAGCAGGCTATCCATGAGGAAACTACACCTTCTGGGAAGCCTCAGAAATTACCAGCATTTGAACAAAGTCCTTTAGGACTCCAAAGATGGGAGGACTCCCACCCCCCAGCATGGCATACAGACATCTGCTGAAGTTTGAGCAATGGACTACTTTGGAATTGTGATTTCCTTCTCAGTTTCCTTAACTCTTCGCCCCCAAGATCTTTTTGACGTAGTTCTGGACGTTAACATGCAGCTGTGGAGCCGTGGCAGAAAATGTCTCCACAGCCAGCGCCTGTGCAGCCTCCGAGCCACTCACCATGCCACGATAGATGGGCAGGGTGTACTTCTGCTTTCCCTGAAATCAAGCACAGAACGACAATGCATTAGAACGACTCACCACCAAAGCAGTGCTTACTCAATAGCCATTCAGTTTCACTTAGGTTTCACACCGCAACATTCTGTAATGCCCGAGTTCCTTCTGGTTTTGATGCAAAGATGAAACTGAAACAAATCATGTGTGCTGAAAGATATATGCTGAATTTTGAGTGCTTTTCCAAATAGATAAGGGATGCAGGTGGCGCTGTGGGTTAAACCACAGAGCCTAGGGCTTGCTGATCGGAAGGTTGGCGGTTCGAATCCCCACGACGGGGTGAGCTCCTGTTGCTCGGTCCCTGCTTCTGCCAACCTAGCAGTTCGAAAGCACAAAGTGCAAGTAGATAAATAGGTACTGCTCCGGCAGGAAGGTAAACGGCGTTTCCGTGAGCTGCTCTGGTTCACCAGAAGCGGCTTAGTCATGCTGGCCACATGACCTGGAAGCTGTACGCTGGCTTCCTCGGCCAATAAAGCAAGATGAGCGCTGCAACCCCAGAGTCGTCCGCAACTGGACCTAACGGTCAGGGGTCCCTTTATCTTTACCAAATAGATAACCCATGTTACTTGTAGTCTATAGTGGATATAATCTATCTGCTCAGTGGCCTGCAGCACCCCACAACTTCCTATGAAGGTTAGGATTTTTCTCTCTCTCCAAAACTTGCGAAAGAAATCCTCATCAGCAACACGTTCCTTTTTTATATGCAACAGGCAAGGTCATGCTTATCTACTTTCCAGTACACAGAAGCATTCAGAATGGCTGTTGTTTGGGAGAGGCATTTGTGGCTAAACCAGGGCTGCTGCTGCTTAGAAGCGCTTTGACAGTTTAGTAGTATATTAATGATGACAATATATGTGGCCTTCCAAACGCTGGTGGACTACAGATCCTGTCATTCCTGACCACTGGGCCACAATAGCTGAGCTGATGGGGGTCGGAGTCCAACAGCATATGGGCAGCCTATGTTTCCCCAACCCTGTGCTAAAAGTATCACTCTCTGTTTTGTGGCAAGAGGCAGCTTTTACCACTGGTTTCTGACAAAGAGGAACTGTTAGTTCTGGGATGGGCAGGACCAAGGAGATGGCGGGGAAAGGGCTGGCTGACACCGCGCCAAACCTGTCCCGCAGCTTCCAACCAAGACAAGGGATCAATCTACTATTCAGTGGGTAAAATACTATCTTGGCTGTGAGTCCCAGAAGACCTGCTCCCCGTCTTGCAGGCCTTTCCCCACCAGGTCTGAGAGGGTAGGGCACGGACTGACTCCAGCTACAAAAGCTGAAGCTGCTGAACAGACTCTTGGGCTGTGGTATAGTTTGGAGGCAGAGGGTTTGCTGCTGTTATCAGTATTAATGTTTGTATCTTTATTTTAGACCTTATTATGATTTAGGCGGAAATTGTTTAATTTGGTTGCATACTTTTGATGTTTTATTCATTGTTTATGACTACTTTTGTTATGTCTATAATTTTGTATTTTATTCATGTTGCTAGCTGCCTTGAGCATGGTTTGAACTATGGAAAGGGGGCATAGAAATACAATTATGTATGTTTGTAAAAGCTACAGGATCCACATGCCTCCGAACCAACATCACACAGACAGATCAACTACAAACCTGGCTGTGAAGGAAGTCTTTCACTTTGCCAAACTCCGCCTCATGGTTGTTCTTGAGGAGAATCTGGCACCAACGGAGGCGCAGCTCTGCATTCCGTGCTTTGGAGATCTTGCTGTACATGGCACTCATCTTCTCAATGTTCCCTTCGCATGAAATGAGAGTGGAGGGTCATTCACTCCCACAACAGAAGGGAAATTAGCATAGCAAAAGTAGGCAACAGCCCTATATTCCAATTACTCTTTTTCTGAATGGTCACTGTGCTCATCTTGTTCACCAGCCTTTGCCAGTGCCATCCAGCTGTTTTACACTACAATTCCCATCAGCCTCAGACAACAACATCTGGAGGGTACAAAGTATGCAAAGGCAATTGTATACATGAGCTTTGCATTAAAATGTCTCAGGCATGAAATTTCCTTCACTGTCTTTTTAAGGTACCCCTCTGGAAGCTATTGTATTGTATTTTTTTCTAGCCACAGGCAGAGGGAAGGCATGATCACATGCTTTTATGCCCACAGAAAGTGTCTTGAACCAAAGATGAACACTTCTGGAAGCTCTGCAAGCACCATCTGGGTAGTCAAGATAACCCCACAATTAATAGGTAGTTTTGTAACCGTGAATCCACATATAATTGGTTTGCTATCCTCATCTGTGGGCCTGAGGTGCTGGGCTCTGAGCCCGAAAGGGGAACTAACTGAAGATATGGGTATTTGCCACCTATGCCCTCATGCGGTCAAGGGAAGCAATGGGGAGCCCTAGCCAAAGTGACGTATGCTGCTTTGTGTATAATAAAAGGCATGAATGTTTGCTTGAGGGTGGACAAGCCATCTCATTGCTGCGGTGTCCGTCCATGTATAAATACCGTATTTTTCCATGTATAAGACTATATTTCCCCCCAAAAATTTAAAGTTTAAAATTGGGGGTCGTCTTATACATGGAATGTTTAAAATATTTATTTCTTAATTGGGTTCAAAAAATAGGGGTCGTCTTATACATGGGGGCGTCTTATAGACGGAAAAATACGGTACTCTCTACCCTCACCCCCAAACGCTCCAAGTTATTCCATCCCATGCTCTAATCTCTAGTTCTTGGGAGTCACCTGGCTTGCATCTCAATGTCAACAATATTTATTCACAGTGCAATGATTCCCTCTGCCACGCTCAAAGAGTAATCTTACCATCTGGCAGTGGGGATTTCGCCAAGATCTTATCCAGGAAATAGACCACCTGGAAGGTTTTCCAAGTCGAGATATCTACTGCTCTAATTGCCTGCATGTCGCAGTCAGGAGATGCCCAGAGCTCTGCCAGGTTCTCAGCTGGCTTCATCAGCTCCTCCCCAGGTGAAAGGTCTGGAAGGTAGGGGGGCCAACCAGGTGTGTTCAGCCACCGATCAAACTCAAAGCCTGCCATGGAAACAAGAAGAGAGAAGCTTGTTGGACTCAATACTGGAAGTTCTTAAGCTACTAACAACCTGTTTATTCATCCTGGTTTGCTTGCACAAAGCTTACATGGTGGTTAGACTAGGTCTACTCTTTACTGAGCATTTGTTCTGAATTGTTTACGGAGTGGTTGTACCACTATAAGCATTCAACAGCATTCACTTCATTGAGCCAGGGCACACGTTACTTTCACTGCATCTAGGGTCTCCATGCTCCTGCCAGCAGTTACCTAAATGTCTGGCAGAACCCCCCTCTGGATTGCAAAACATTATTCACTTTTGGACAGAGGAAAGGTGACCAGAGGAACCATGGATCAGTGGGAGTGTGCATGGTTTATAGCAGTGATGGCTAATGGATGGCCCTCCAGGTGTTGCTGTACTTTCATTCCCATCATCACTGACAACTGGCCCTGCTGGCAGGGGCTGATGGGAGTTGGAGTTCAATAAAATCTGCAGGTCTGCAGATCCCTCACCCCAGTCTTACAGGGATAATGTATTAAGTTGATCCTTAGCATCAGCTCTTTGCCAGAAAACTGAAGACAGTTATTGACAATCAGCTTCATATGACTTCTATCCCCCAGGTAGCAGAATTCCAGCTAGAAGCCCAGTTCAGATGTTTTGCAACTGGTTCTCTTATTACCATCCTCAATGCTGTTGGCTAGTAACCAGATGTAATATCTCTTAAAGGTAGCAGGAGCTCTGCCAGACTTTGGCTCTTCAAAACTAACAGACAAGATGTGTACTTTGGAAATGCAACCTAAGGAATAAAGGCAATGAATCATGGGTGGAGATAGTCAACATGGTGAGCTGAATCTAGAAAAAAGGCAGCATGAAAGCATGGGGAACACTGGGAGGAATGTTCACTCCTAATCACCTTGACTGTAAGGAAGAACTGCTGCCCAAAGCTTTGTGCCAATTCAGAATGATGCTTCTCTAGCAGTTATACTTGGCTAATATTCTGGAGATGTTTTTTGCAACTGCAGAGTAAGGAGAGTATGCAAAGGATGGATGTTTTCGCCATCTTAAAAAGTGTCTTTGGAGAACTGGGAAAGAGAGACACTTGCTACCGCCAAGATTTACATAAACGTTACGTGCTTGGTCCTGAAATTATGGACAAATATCTAAAAAGTAGGAAGTGTTGCTGACCTGGAATGGTATCTACCCCTTTCTTCTTCAGCTCTGGGAAATAATTCAAGTAGAACTCTAGTGCTTCATCTGCTGTGATGCTCTGAAACTTGAATTGGTTGACATACGCCTGCCAGAGAGAGAGATTGCCCTAAATTAAACTGTGGTCTGAATGGTGCACCTGTAACATTTCACCTTTACTTAAGCAACAACTCATGAGTAACTCTTTCAGCAAAGAACATCAGCTCATGTTCAGCCTGCAATTACCTGCTCCAACTAGCCTGGGTCGTAGCACCCCAGGTAATAGAGGCTGAGATACCTGTCTGCTTAAAAAAGGAACAGATATCCCCCTTCAATACCCTCCCAGGTTTTATGCCAGATTCATATATTCCTGATTCAGTAAGATTTCATTTGTCCATACTCCCTCTGTTTGCTCACACAGCTTGCAGCTATCTTTGGAGAATCTCTTAAGTGCAACATGCATGGCTGATATCTTTGCTTCCCACTTAAGGAATGCTACAGCTTAAGATAAATCTCTCAGAAACAGCTTCCCTGTGACAAGTTATTCAGCTTCCCAGACTTCATGTTTCAGTTCCAAGCAATGTGGGGTGCTATAGCTTACTTTCTGATGTTATCATCAGTGCTTGCCCAGGAACATCCCTTGCAAACATACAGGGAATCCTTTTTGGCCCAGTGGACTTGATCATTATTTGGGCCCACCCCATTGGCCAGCTTTGAGAAGTGTGCGGGGCAGCCCACCTGACATCATCATGATGTCAGATGATTGAAAGATGGGTTCTTCTGCTCACTGTCAAAGTCCCTTGTGCAGTGCAAAGTGCTGAGAAAAGGGCTGGAAAAACTGCTTTCTGCAAAACTGCAGTACAAAGTGCTGAGAAAAGGGCTGGAAAAACTGCTTCCTTTCCCATATAGGGGCCAGGCACCCAGAAAATGCAGGGGCAGCCATGCAAGCACCACACACAGTGGAAAAAGCATGAAGTTCAGGCAGGGGGTGGTGGAAGAGAGAGTGTGGAGCTTGGGCGGGAAGGGTCCAGTCGCTGCTGCACTGCTGGAGTTTGCACCCCGCCCCATGGTATGACGTCATGATGCCACCGTGTGTCATGATGTCAAGGTGTGTGCATGATGATGTCACGGCGTGGGTGGGTCGTGCTGGGCACCCACAGTGTAGGGCCCAATTTGGCGCCATTGCCCACTGGGAAAGTAGCTGCACACCCAATCCGGCCATGTTTCTACCTGCCTCATATCTGATGTCATATAGGAGAGGTGAGCATGATTTGCAGAAAACATCCTCATGGTCCCAATGCAGCTTGTGGACAAGATGTTGCACATTCCTAGCCTAGAGGAAGCCAATTTCCCAAGACTCCCATGAAGCACAGACAAGTCCCAGGCTAACATACAGTACCTGGAGGAAAGCATCAAACTTCTTCTGGTCCCCGACAAGGTGAGCAAGGTAGGAGACAAAACAGTAGCCCTTTTCATAAGGGGTTTCATTATAGGTGTCCTCAGGATCAACACCTGGGCAGAAGAAACAACTAGCATAAGATTTACAACACCCAGTTGCCAGTATTACAAAAGGAAAAGCCTTATTAGAAATGATTCAGCCACAACCCAAATTTCTGTATGTAACTGATTATTCAGATTTATTTTCTTGAACACAAGGAAACAATGATGTGATTGAATCCATAGGCTCTGGACCAATACAGACCTGGCTCTATTTTCACTCTGAGCTTGTTGAGGGGATGGTCTTCTCCAGTGTTGTCCATATGTTGGCGAAGCAAAGCCCTCCCTGTGGCAGCTTCTAAGCAAGTATAAGCAGCACCTGAGTTCAGGGGACAAGCAACGGAAGAAGCTGAGCTAGTGTTTTTAAGCTCCTGGCCATCAAACCAAAATGCCTGCTTGATAGTCTGGGATCAGTCATGAATATGTGGTAAAGATTATTTGGAGCACGGCATCACTGTTACTGGAGAAAAAAGAAGAACACAGTTGAGACCTGCAGGCAGATCCCACTAGAAACACAACAGAAGCAACCCTTTCTGTTAACCATTAGCAAGTGTGTGTTGTCTTTCTTCCAAATGGAATTCTGTAAAGGAAATTCAAATTATTCAGGGTGATACATGGAACCCTCCCATCAGGAAGCTACACCCCTCAGGAACGCAGATGGGAGCATCTGACAGCATTCCTAGCATCAAGCTCTCTCTGCACACAGAAAGTGAATGCCAGGTGGAAAGTTTCTTCAGCCTAGCCTACACAAAACAATGCCTTAGTTGAAGTTGTACAATACTGTGAAGACTGCAGGATGTATAGTACAATAGGCACCAAGACAAAAGGAGAACTTAAAAATATTTTAATAGTATATTCATATGAAGTTAGTGCTACAGATAACTTTAGTTTTCAGCTTTATCCCACCAGCATACTTTATATGTGTTCTCAGTGTGACAACGCAGCCTGCTGCCTATGCGAATTCCGACCACAGTAAACCTGTTTGGTCTTTTTGGCATTCTGAACTAACATAACTAACTCTTCTTTAATACAGATGAGGATGATCAACTCATCCTCACAGTCAATCTCATGCTAAGAATTCTCACTACCCAGGGAGACAGCCGGATTCAAAATTGCACTGAGTAGCATCACCCATACTGAATTCATCCTTCCTCTACTAAGCATTCAAGAGGAAATGACTCCTGGAATGGAGTAGCTCAGAAAAGGGCTTGGCTGGCACATTGAACAGGAGCATTCCACACTTTTTTTTTTTAATACATGTCCCACATGTATACCACCATCACCTCAATTTTAACTCATGAGCTATTGCTACAATCTGCTCTGATTGTATATTTTATCTTTATGAACGCTGTTTTTATTGTGTTATTCCAAGTAAATTATCCATCTATCTACCATCATCACCCTTATCCTTATTATGAGAATGTGTTTGTGTTATGTTTGGGGCTTTCTTCAAAAAGAAGCTCTTGATCTGGCTCATGAATTTACATATTGATGTTTCTATTTAACTGCTCTGGATGCTAATTGTAGAAGAGCAGAATATATCAAGGCACTAAACAGCATGGACATTGCCCAACAGGTAACTCACCATAAATTTCTTTAGTGATCCTCCTCTGTGCATACATAGTGAAGCCTTCATTCAGCCAAAACTCCCCCCAATGGGCATTGGTGACCAGATTGCCAAACCAGCTATGCGAGATCTCGTGGATGATCACATCTGCTAGGGAGCGATCGCCGGCCAACAGGCATGGAGTCACAAAGGTGATACAGGGGTTCTCCATCCCCCCGAAAGGGAACGAGGGAGGCATAAACAGAACATCGTACCTGCCAAAAGCAAAGCTTGTGATCAAGGAGACAACATCTGTCAAGAGGCTCTGTGCCTCCCCAGACAGTATTCCAGTGGTTTTTCTTTAAGGAAGGGATGGGGGAATCCAGTAGCCCTCGTTTGTGGACTCTCAACACCCAAAAGCACTGGCCAACATAGCCATTGGTAAAGGATGTTGGAAGCTGTAGCCCAACAACACCTAGAGAGCCCCTGATTTAAGGAGTAATAATATTGTGCTGTTACTGCCCACTCCACTTTTGTGTGTGAGTGTGGCAGTGGTTTGCCCCCAGGTTACAGGTACCAGAATACAAATTTGCCAAAAAGGCTCAGCAATACTCAGGGTATTGAAGCACAGTGCAGTTTGACTGGCGGACGCCATCAACCAGAATTCACATTTGCTCAAGAGTGGGGAATTGCTGCTTGCTCATCTTCAGCAAAAGTTCACAGAAGATAGGAAACCACCTTAGAGCAGGCCAGACCACATATCCATCAAGACTGCACTGTGCAAGTGGACTGTGGGTCATGAAAGCTTATGCAACAATAATGTGCTAGTCCCTCAGGTGCTACAAGTCTCCTGGAGGAATCTGCTGCTGCAGCAGACTAACATGACTTCCCCTCTAGAAACTGACCAGCATTATTACTTGAGACTCGCAGAAGCTCCCTGGCAGAGGTCTTTCACATCACTTGTTATTGCATCCTTTTATCTGGAGATGCCAGGGATTAAACTTGGGACCTTCCGCATGCAATGCATGTGTCCCACCACCAATTTAGTCTCAGCCCAAAGACTGAAGTATGACTCAAGGGATTTAAGAACATGAATGATCTGTCTTAGCCAAGTCACACCATTGATCCACCCAGGTCAGTACTGCCTACTTTAGTGAGTTATGAGTGGTTCCCAGGGTTTAGATGAAGCATCCTTCCTAGCTGTACCTGGAAATGCCAGAGACTGGACTTCTGTATGCAAGGCAGGTGCTCTTACCATTGAGCTATAGCTTTTCCTGGTTCAGGTAAGCTGACTTAAGGAAAGGATAAAATGTATGACATCTCTATGCCCAATCTGGGATCAATGGGTGCATGTTTGCAAAGACTTCAAGGGAAGTTTTCCCTGAAGCAGCAAGACATACCTTTCCCATACATATGGTCCAAAAAGCTTCTCTCCCGTGCTAAGAAACTCTTCAATCACACCATCATACTCTTTCTTAGCAGCCTCAATCAGGCAGGGCTCGGCCCATACATGGCTCCTAGCATGGGATGAAAACAAATGGGTGGAAATGTAAGAAATTGGAAATTGGAAGAAAACACCCTAAGTCACATAAACAGCAACACATTCATTAACGTCAGTTTGTTAAGGAGTCACTCCCATGGTTGCTTGTGGGAGATAAGAAGGCATTCTGTACTGCATATGAAGAAGCCATTCTAGTAGTGAAAGGGCTTTCTTCCACATCAAAATATAAAAGTTACAATAATGGAAGTTGGAGTCCAGCAATGCCTGGAAGGCCATGGGTTTCCCTAGATGCTGCTTATCAGCCTCTCTACACAAAGATAGGCAGGGACTCCAGAAATTCCAGCTTGCAGCAAGAGCCTGTTGTCTTACATTGGAGGAATATAATTAGTTTGTTTAATTGTTCTGTCATTTAACTTCTAATTACTGCCTTAATTCTTTTGGTAGCCTTACTGTTAGTCATTTTGAAGATTTCTTTTAAAGCTAACAATACGGCTGAACAAACAGTAAGGCAGACATAAAGCAATGCGGTGGCTCATCTGTATCCCTGCAGCCAGCCACGCTCTTACCTGGGTCCAACTTCAGCAGAAACTATGTCCCCAACAACCAGGGCAACCAGATAGGATGGGATGGGCAGAGGCATCTTGAAGTAGAAAGTGTTGTCCTTCTGCTTCTCCCGGGTAACTGCACTCATCACTGCTGTGAAACCCTCAGGGACCTAACAGACAAACAAAGGCAGGCTTGTTGCGCATGAAAAGGAGCACTTGCTGATTGGGGATGGGTCTTATTTTATTTATTTCAAGTATATCATACTTTTTCTCCAATGAGCTTGAGGCTGCATGCATGGTCCTCCTCCCCCACCCCGTGTTTCACCTTCACAACAGTCCTGGGTTAGGTTTGGTGAGGAAGGTCAGACTGAGAGACAGCTGGGATAGCTCAGTCGGTAGAAGATGAGACTCAATCTCAGGGTCGTGGGTTTGAGTTCCACATTGGGCAAGAGATTCCTGCATTGCAGAGTGCTGGACTTAGATGACCCTCATGGTCCCTTTCAATTCTATGAACCAACTGGCTCAAATTCACCCAGTGCGATACGGAATACATCACCACAGATGGAGAAGCTGCTGGGAGACAGGCCTGACCAGAGGATGGCAAGACGGGGCCTTTGTTAGGGCCCCAAGTCTAGCAGAGGGTCTACCTCCCTAGGAGTGGCAGGGGATGGGGGAGAAGGCAGCAGTGGAATGGGTAACGGCTCTTGTGAGGCTTGGGCTGTGGAAGCAGTGGCAGGGATTCTGCTGCTTGAGGCCGCTGCCTCACCCTGCCTAACGATAGTGCCGGCCCTGGCTTACCTTTATAAGAGCAGAGTATGTACTTTTAACGGCAGGGGTGTCAAAGCAAGGGAAAAAGCTCCTATTCAGAACAGCTTGGCCTTGGGTGTACATATAGGGCTTCTGCTTCCCTGCTGTCTGCTCAGGAGTAAGCCAACACACCTAGCAAGAGAAAAAAGACAGGTCTTCTGTGAGCAGTGGGATACTTTACCTGGATGTGTGCAGAGTACGTGATCTTGACAGCCGGGGTGTGAAAGCCAGGGAAAAGGGACCTGTTGAGCACAGGAAAGCCAGAGGTGTAAAGAAACGGCTTCTCCTTCTGGGCAGTTTGATAAGAATCCAGAAAGGAGATCTATAAGAGGAGGTACAGGATCAAGCTGTCATTTCTGTTCTGCCTTCAGTTGCTATTAGCCAACAAGCACTAGAATCTGCACACGACCCAAATACTCTAACACAGAGTTCCCTGGGATTTCCCAGCGTGGGATGTTCCAGGTCTTCAGGTTTTCAAGAGAGCACCTATGAACTATTTCTAAGATGTGCACAGTCAGCACTCACCAATGTGCAGCCCTTGGACTTCTTCAAGGTGTACATTAATGTAATCAGGACTGGGCAGAGGTCCAAAGAAACAAAGGCATTTTCTTCTTCTTACAAACAGCCTTAATGCAGTTATTAGGTTTTACAAAGCGGTGAGGAAAACCGATTACGTGGTTTGTGAAATGCTAAATCCAAAAATTATCCAAGGAAATGTATCAGTGCAATTATAGGTGTGTGGGAGAGGGGAATCAGATCATGGCTGTAGGTGGAAGTCCTAACTCTTTCCTCCATGTAGCTTTCCTGATCTAAATGCCTCCCAGGCTCCTATTTTTCTCTGTGGAGCAAGCATACAAGGACCATAATGGGTATAAAACAAACAGGAGGTAGAGAGGTTGATTCAGATTGAGGAGATGGAATAGCAAAGAGGGTTAAACCCCCTTCACCTGCACTAAACCTCAGGCCTGATTCCTACCCCCACCATCCTGATGGCTCCAACATCCGAGATTCGTATTATTGGTCTCCCACATCACGTTCAGTTCAACCCAGTATCCCTGCAAATTGGGAGAACATGCTCACTGACAGCTTTGCAGTTCACAAAATCCATCCAGAGTAAAACCACATCCCTCTTCCGGTTTTGTGATTGAAATATAGATTGGAATATTCACTTCACTGAAGATACATTTGAAAGCAGGGGAGAGGGGGCTTCACTGTTACTACCAGTACAAAAGGCTGTTTAACATGCATTTAGATGTAAGATCAGGCCTACCAATTCACTCACCATGGGGAGGGTTTAGCATTCGCATCATACAATACTCTTGTTCAGTACTACTGGCTGCATGGAACTGTAGCTATTACACTGAGAGCCCTCCCTTCCATTAATGTGAGCTGATTTTCCTGCGCAAGTGGAGACTTTCGCTAAATTTTACTGTCTGGGGGATGCCAAACACCAGGCTAAATTCAACAAGCTTGGAGATGGCTGGGATTGAACCTGGACCCTTCTGCTTGCAAGGCTGAGCTACGTCCCATAAGGAAAGATGTCCATAGGCAGTAACAAACATCCCACACGGAAGGGCAAGAGCAAGAAAGGCAAGTTCACTTCCTTTCCCTTGCCAAAGCTCCTGAATAATGAGGGAAAGGGACAATTATGAAAATCAGGATCGGTGGTGCAATAGCAGAGCAATGGCATCACTGCAGCCCAGGCACACCTAGGCATGCCTTTAGCTTTGGAACGCAGCCCATGAAGATCTAAGGAAGGAAAAACTTATGATACTGAGGGCAGCACGCCTGAGCATGTGAGGAGTGTATATTTCCCAAGTCTTGAGCTACTGCTGCCAGCAAACCTCCCTCCCCATTAAGAGGAAGGGCTTTCGGGTCCAAAGGCGCAACTTGAACCTTGCACGCTTCCCGCCCTCGGCTGGGGGAAGGGACCGGGGCAGATCCGCGCGCCCTCCGGCTCCTCCCGCCTCTCTCCCCGACTCACCCCGGGCCCCGATCCGGCTCGGTAGGCGATCTCCAGCACCACCGTGTCCCCGCACGTCAGAGGCTCCGGCAGGGTGACGTGCAGCGCCGAGCCGTAGCTGGCGAACGGGCGGCTCTGGAAGGCGAGCGGCCTCAGCGCGCCTGGCTGCGGGCCCTGCCCTTCGCCGCAGCGGCTCCCCGGCGGCGCCAGCCCGGCGCCTTCCACCTTGACGCTGGGGTGCGAGTCCAGCACCACTTCGCTGGCGCGGTCCCGCAGGCATGTCAGCTCCAGGCGGACGCAGCCTTGCAAGTGCCCCGAGCCGGCCGACCCGAAGTGCGCGCTCAGCGCCAGGTGCAGGTGCCGGAGCTGGAAGGAGTCCGCGCTGCAAGCCGACGCCGCGTCCCGGGCCGCCGCCATCGCCGAGAAAGAGGCCAGCCCAAGCGGCGGAAAGGCGGACGAGGCTCAGCCCACGGGGCGGAGCGAGCAGAGCGCTTTCAAAGCGCCCGGCGGGCCGCGCTCGCGTCGGATCTGTTGCCCGCAGACCGGATTTCTCGGCTCTTTGGGGGGCGCTGCCCTTCTCTCTTGTTGAAAACAGGCAGCGGGAAGCTTTCAATGGGTCACGTTCTGCTGTGTTTTAGAATGGCTGGGGCAGCCACGTCAGATGGACGGGATACAAAGAATAAATTATTATGGGTTTTTATTTCCTTTTCATTGATCTGTATATCCTACTGACTTTTCCCAGCTAAATTCAAAATCAATAAACATTTAAAAAAAGTAGTGACAGTGACAGCTGTTGCTTTGAAGAAAGCCCAACTATTGCAGTACTACTAATAATTAGAGAGTAGTGGGCAGAAGCGTAGCCCCTCTTTCCAAGTAGTAAAAGCAAAGATGTAATTTACATGTACGCTCAAGCTTCTATCTTATGTGGAAAAATAAGCAGACAAGCCAAACCAATACTGCAGGTACTTGGCCTGGTGAAAGAAGGTGTGTCTGAGGAAGTGTGGCCTGCAGGGCAGTGGCGTAGCGTGGGGGGTGCAGGAGGGGCTGGCCGCACCGGGCGCAACATCTGGGGGGGGGGGGCGCGGAAGAGACTCGAGTGCTAAAATCCACGGGTTAGGGGGTGCAAATTACTTGCCTTGCCCTGGGTGCTGACAACCCACGCTACGCCACTGCTGCAGGGATAGAAGCGGGGCCTGAAATGACATATTTGGGTTCAAGCCTGATGTTCCTTATCGCTGACCTAGGTATGGACACTGAAACATACACAGACACACACACAGAGAGTGCTTTTTTTCCTAAAAAAAATGTTTAGGGGTACTGTCATTCTGACTGAAGAAAACCACCATTTTATAGTTCAAATCGGGAAAAATAAATACAGTAAATGGACAAAAGTACAAAGATTCACAAAATGTTTAGGGGTATGCGTACCCCTGTGTCCCCCAGAAAAAAGCACTGTGTGTGTGTGTGTGTGTGTGTGTGTGTACAGCACCTATTGATTCAAGGTGCTTTATCAATATAATGCATGATTTCATGTTTTTACCTATATGAAAAATAATTACATTTCATAAATTACTAACCTTACATGGGGAACCTTTGGCCCTCCAGATATTGCTGAACTACAACTCCCATCAGCCCCAGCGAGCATAGCAAATGACCAAGGATAATGGGAGATGTAGTCAAGTAACAGCTGGCCGCTCTAAGGTTCTCCACATCTGCTATATGGTAACTGTTCCAAGGATAATTTATGTGAAGTATTGGAAAGCAACTGAGATACAACAGAGCCAGGAAGGTGTTCTGGTTAGAGTGTTAGAGCAGGATCTGGGAGATCAGGGTTCTAATCCCCACTTAGTCTTGAAGCTCACTGGGTGACCTTGAACTAAGGTAAAGGTAAAGGTACCCCTGCCCGTACGGGCCAGTCGTGACTGACTCTAGGGTTGTGCGCTCATCTCACTCAAGAGGCCGGGAGCCGGCGCCGTCCGAAGACACTTCCGGGTCACGTGGCCAGCGTGACGAAGCTGCACTGGTGAGCCAGCACCAGCGCAGCACACGGAAACGCCGTTTACCTTCCCGCTATAAAGCGGTACCTTGAACTAGTTACAGATTAATTTACCCAGCCTTGGAGATTAAATGTTACTCATTTATTTTAAATTTTTTTTTTTATTTGTCACATTTTGGATACTTCGAGATAAAATTAGATAGACGAGATTTCATTCTTTCATTTACAACTCATAAAAACCTGAAAAGGTTTAATCCAGCAGAGTATCTGTGAGGGGGCTGCACTTCTGGGAAACCCCCCCCAAATTACCAGCATCTGAACAAAGTCCTTTAGGACTCTGAAGATGGCGGGGCCTTGCCCCTAACCCATGAAACCTGGAAATAGAGTTGATAAACAATGGACAGCTTTAGAATTACAATTTTCCTCTTAGTTTCCTTAATCCCCAAGATCTTCTTGACATAGTTCTGGACATTAACATGGAGCTGTGGAGCCGTGGCAGAAAATGTCTCCCCAGCCAGCGCCTGGTATGTCTCTGAGGCTCTCACCCTGGGCAGGGTCCATTTCTGCTTTCCTTGATATCATGCACAGAATGACTCATCACCAAAGTAGTGTTCAGCTGCCTGCAGCGCCCAGCAACTTCCTACAAAGCAGGCTAGGAATTTTTTCTCCAAAACCTACAGTAAGAAATCCTCATCCGTCACACATTCCTCTTTAACATGCAGCAGGTGAGATCATGCTTATCCAATTTCCAGTACACAGAAGCATTCAGAATGATTTATTTGGGAGGTGCTTTCATTGCTAAAAGAGGGATATTGCAACTACTTAGAAACACCTAAGAGATGCTTTTAGAGATCCTACCATCCCTGACCACTGGCCACACAGGGGTCAGCAAACTTTTTCAGCAAGGGGCTGGTCCACTGTCCCTCAGACCTTGTGGGGGGCCGGACTATATTTTCGGGGGGGGGGATGAATGAATTCCTGTGCCCCACAAGTAACCCAGAGATGCATTTTAAATAAAAGCTTTAAATAAAAGCATTCTACTCAAGTAAAAACACTCTGGTTCCTGGACCGTCTGTGGGCCAGATTTAGAAGGCGATTGGGCCGGACTCAGCCCCTAGGCCTTAGTTTGCCTGCCCATGCACCAGCTGGTGTTGAAGTTATTTAATGTTACACAAAATGGTGCATAATTGTAATTGTGTTGTATTTTAAGTTACTGTGAAACATGTATGATGAAGTCTTGTATTTTTCCATTGCAAAGATGGGGTGGGCTAGGTTTCATGACTGAGTCATGGGTTTTTGGATAGAATTTCAGAGTGTTTACTTATGTTAATAAAGTAGACCTCTCCACTCAGAGTCATGAGTTGTTTTGCAAGCAGACGCAGATCTCCTCTGGGCATTGCCCAACATGCAAGCAAGCCAGAAACAGAGGAGGACAGAGTTCATTTTGATTTTAAGGTGAAAAGCGCTGGTTTTGGGCAAAGATATGTTCTAGAGCATTATACTGGGATCAGTATATGTAAGAAGAAAAACATATAACTGAGAAAATTGTATTGTTTATTTTTTTGCAACGTTTAAATCAAGTTTCTGCAAGCTTTAAAACTTGATTCTTTTTATATATTTATGCTTTTATTGAGATTATCATCGTAAATTAAAGAAAGAAGGAAAAAAGAAAGAATAGAAAGGGGGGGAGAAAATGCATTAAAACATTTTAAAAAACAGAGGAAAGCAGCAATAACAAAATAACCATAAAATAAAATTAAACAGAACTATATGGTATATATGTAGATGGATAAACTTATTGTTTCCCACGAATATATGTCAATCCATGTGTCTTTATGGTTTTGACAAATACCTTCCAAATATCATTAAATTTGTCCATGCCTAATCTTCGTCTGAAGGCGATCATGGGTTGCAAGTTCCAGCTCAATGCTTACATCTCATACCTCACCTACTTCAGCCCTGAACTCCTGTAAAGAAAGTTACTCTCACACACATACACACACACAAATGTAAGTGTTCTGTTCTGGTTGCCAAGCAACTCGCAGAGCTTCAACTATTATCTTTTGTTTCCAACAAGTAACTATGGCTTCAAGGCTGAATATCTATTGAAAGCTAAATGTTCCAACTACACTACTTGACTTTTAAAAGGCTAGAGTAGAATAAAGAGGTTTGATGTTTCTTTTTAAAGCATCATAAATGAATATATCATAAGCATAAATGGCAATGTTAAGCCCACTGTACCTGGAGACAGACAGTCAGGTTGTGTATCCATAGCAGTGACCAGAGGATTAATGACAGCTGGGACAAGTGCAGAGGGAATAAATGCCATGGTCCATCTGCAGCAGCACAAATGGGCACCTTCATCTGCCCCAGCTGCAACAAAACATGTCTCTCCTGCATCGGTCTCTACAGCCACAGCAGACGCTGCAAAGTTCCAGTGGTTCAACTTCACCCCTGAAGACAAACACTTCCATTGTCTCCCAAGACAGATGGATGCCTACAATAAATGTTTCCAACAAACATTAACTTGCCAGGTTGCCAAATACACAAGTTGGCCGTAGATCAGGGTTGCCAACTTACTAAAACCATAACAATAAAAGATGTATTTTAATAGTGGCAATAGCCTTATCCACCATGAATTTATCTAATCCCCTTTTTAAAAAAACTAATGATTGCGGGGCAGGGGGGACGGGGGACGGGGACGGACGACATGATTGCGTCTTTTATAGCAAATTCCATACCTGAACTATCTGCTGTGTGACAAAATGTTTTCTTTTGTCTGTCCTGAATATCCCACCATTCAACTTTGGTGGTTGATTCCAATACCTAGTACAGTGGTACCTCGGGTTAAGAACTTAATTCATTCCAGAGGTGCGTTCTTAACCTGAAACTGTTCTTAACCTGAAGCACCACTTTAGCTAATGGGGCCTTCCGCTCCCGCCGCACCGCCGGAGCACGATTTCTGTTCTCATCCTGAAGCAAAGTTCTTAACCTGAGGTACTATTTCTGGGTTAGCGGAGTCTGTAACCTGAAGCATATGTAACCCAAGGTACCACTGTATTATTTGTATGAGAGAGGTAAATGCTTTTCTGCCTACTTTCTCCACACTGCATAATTTTATACATCTCCCTTATGTTCCCTCACTTACTTGCATTTTTTCTAAACCAGATAGCCTCAAACATTATAATATTTCCTCGTGTAGTAGAAGCATATAATGCTTCCAGCCCTTTGATCATTTTGGTGGTCTTTTTCTGCACCTTTTCCAGCTCTGAAATATCTTGGTCTTGTGGGTTGTTGTTGTTTTTTAAAGTGTGGCAACCAGAAGTGAATGCACAGTCTTCTAAGTGTGATCTCTTCATAGATTTGCATTATGATCTTGGCAGGTTTTTTTTTGCTTTGATCCCTAGCAGGTCCTTTTCACTGCAACTGCGCACAGAGGACGTTTTCCTAAATTTAACTGAGCTCTCCACCACAAACCCCAAGATCTCTTTCCCGGCCAGTCACCACCAGCTGAGATCCCATCAGTCTTTAGGTGAAGTTAGGATTAGTTTGCCACAGAGTAGGTTCTAATCTTCGAAAGAAGGGGGTGGAAATATATATATATATATATATATATATATA